TTTCTTGACTTTATGCCAAAAAAAACGGAATTGGGACCATAGTGCAATGCGTTAAAAATTAAAAATTTTGAAGGATAATATTTTTAAAAGACATTTTTGACTTGTTCCGTTTACTGGGCCTTGCAACGGATGGATAAATCTACGAGAAGCAAGCAAATTTACTAAGACAGAAAGTTTCAACAATTTTTATTTAATTTTTTTTTTCAATTTCAATTTTTTATTTTTTTTCACATAGCACGCTTTGAGAAGCAAACAAATTTACTTACAGGCTAACCTAATATTCGCGGCTTGCGTTTTGGTACGCATGCCGTCGAATTTGTTTTTTTGCGTCACCCGAAATTGACTTGCATGCGTTTGCATTTGATTTCATTGAGCGAAACGTCAAATCAAAATGTCACGCAGAACAAAAATTGGAAATTGAGTTAGCTTCATACGCACGCCGTTCAATTTCGGTTGATCTCATACAAGTTGCATGTGTATGAGAAATTTTTGACAATAAATTGGCGGCGTGCGTGAAAATTAGGTTAGCCTGTAAGACAGAAAGTTTCAACAATTTTTATTTAATTTTTTTTTTCAATTTCAATTTTTTATTTTTTTTTTTCACATAGCACGCTTTGATTTAGAAGAAAAAAAATTGGAACAGTTTTTGACACTTTCGATACCAGAAGCAACAACAAAATACACGCATACCACATACCTGTTTCATATGCCTTGGTACCAGGAAAAAATTGTATGTCAGTATTTTGTTCAAAATCGTTGTTGCTATGGTTACTAGTTACCGCCGTATTTTGTGAAGTTATACGAGTGTAGACATGCAAATTTCAGGCGTTTTTCTTATACTACGTTCAAATTGACGAGTTAGACATGTTAAATGGTCTTGAACCAGTTAATTGAACAAAATATGTTCAGAAACAAGTTGAATCGCATGCGATTGTTGTTGGAAAATTGAACCTGTTAAGTCATTTAACTCGTTTGAAAACCAGTTAAGGGCAGAGTTGTATCAAAAAGCTTTCTACTCCGGCCAAAGAGAAAGGCCCAAAAGCTTTCATTTGGCACGCCAACGTTCAAAAACTTTTTATATTCTCAAAAATATTAAAAATTTAAAACTATGAAAAAATATCAAAATAAAAAAGAGGCCAAAGCGGTAATTATTTATTATTTTATAGTACATACGAACTAAACATTTTAAAGTATCTAAGTAATCCGTATGCGTTAATATCTTGAAGCAGACATTGGCTCAAAAGAAATTCAAACACAAAAACTTAATTTTGAATATTTTTTCCCCAATTTTTATTGGTAGTCAAACAACCGTCAAATTAACTCCAAATGTTCAATGCGGACGATTGTGTTTTCCAAAAAGCTCTTCTTCATTTAACAAGTTAAATGGGGCCAATTTGAACGTAATATTAGTTTCAAAAGTTTTCCAAATATTCTTATAACATGCCACAATTATAATAGAGAATCAAAAATTGCTGACGTATCAGAACTTTCTCCGTGCTTTTTGATGGAGACTATAATTTTTTGGTAATTTTTTTTTTTTGCAAAAAAAATTCCTATAAGAAATATTGCATTTTTTTAATTACCAACCAAACAAAAAGGTTAACATACAAATTAAAGATTTAAAATTTTTGCAAAAGTTTGAACTAGTAAAGAAATCATAAATTTGTATGAAAACTTGTTGTATGTATTTATTTTTATTTAACTGCTCATAACTTCTATATTTAACATTCAATTTAAATAAACGGGGTCTTATTGTATTTAAAAAAAGAGCACACTTTGACATAGGAGAAATAAACCGAAAGTAGCCACAATCCGTTATATTGATGTTTGTACCGAAAATAAATTTTTTTTTAATTTTGTTAAAAATCATGCCAGCATGTCGATAAATCAATGTATGCCTCCTAAATTGCTTATCCGTTTGTTGGCGTCTTGTTAGCGCAGATGATAGCAAATTTAGCAGCCTTTACTAAAACAAAATTTAAACCAGGCCAACTACATCCAGAGAAAATTGCAATTAAGTGAGTGTACTTTTTTTAAGATATCGAAATCCTGAAATTCGGCAATATCTCAAAAACTGTTTCACTTTCTTGTATTCTGAATTCGTATCGCATTTAGTGGAAAATTTTCCAAAAAAAAAAATCATATAATGTCGCAGTTGCCAACTATTTCCACAAAAAAATTTTAATTAAGCCGCCGCCAGTCTTAGAAAATAAGCTGTTGAAATAAGCCATTTGCGCAAAAAATGCACCTTGTTTAAAAAATGCAATAAAATTTGGTTTATTGAAAATTTTTTGCAAACTGATACCGGATATGGTAACTCAACAATTATTAAATGGTATTTTCTTTTTTAACATTTCTCGCGAATAGTCCTCAAATGACCTTGAAATGATGACGTTACTAATTTGAATGAGTTAAACTGATTGCGAATCAAGATACAGTGACCTCAAAAATGTACAGTGGTTTATTTTAATTTACAAATTTTTTGGTGACTACAAAACTTAACAGTGTAACATAAATTTTACAAATGAACTAACCCTTTATAAAATTTCATTATATAGTACATACACACTTATTTAAAATTAGGTCACAACTCTTCTCTTTCACGTAATTCAAATCTCATATTTAACGTGGGCACATTGCATGCTTCCCTCCATCGATGGGCAAAGTTGCGCCGGTTATAAAACTGGATGTATTACTAGCTAAGAAGATAATGCCATCAGCGACTTCTTTTGTATAGCCAACGCGACCCAGCGCATGAGTCGTCTTACAATGTTCCAAATATTTTTCATATTCCTCAGCCGACATTCCCATACGTTTATGTATATCCGTAATTATAACACCAGGATTGACAGCATTAACGCGCACATTATGTGGCGCCAAGTCGAGAGCAATGCATCTGGTAAATTGATCAAGCGCCGCCTTTGAAGTACAATAAACAGACACATTCGGGAATGATCGCAGACCGGCGATACTAGACACATTTACGATATTGCCTTGCGTTTTGATCAGATGTGGCGCGGCAAACTTGGTCAAAAGGAAAACTGCACGCAAATTAGTATTTAAAATTTTGTCAAATTGATCCACGTCAATATCTAAAATATGGCCTGTTGCGGCTATGCCAGCATTATTCACCAGCACATCCAATTGTCCGAATTTCGCCACTGTTTGTTTTATAATACGCTCCGCATCGACCGTCACGTCGGCAGTGATAGGCAATATTTCCGCCTTTGCATTCACAGCCTTGCATGCTGCTTCAGTGGCCTTCAAATTGGTTTCATTGCGTCCGACGATCGCCACTTTAGCTCCATGCTGGGCGAAAGCTTCCGCCGTGGTGGCGCCTATACCCGAACTTGCTCCTGTCACAATTACAACTTTACGGGCTAGAGACATTTCGAACTATTCTACTTGAAGACGGCGAATGTACTGAACAATGACAACAGCATTACTATCCTTCTAGTTAGTGGCATTGAGCTTTAAAGATTTATGATAAGAAATTACTGATAAAGATAACGAGCTTGCACTTAAAAACTACAGTTATTGCTAATTGATAGAGTGATTTGATTTTCTGTAACCATTACGAAACTATGCTACACATATATACTTACATATGTACATACATATAGTAGTAAATATATAGTCTCGCTATCTTCTCGATTGACGCTGTAAGTTTGCCTCTCCGACAATTTATCGTATTGCCATATACATACATATGCCATACATACGGTGACCATAAATATGGATTCAAAATGAAGGACAGTTTTTCAAAAATATGCCTACATATATTTACGTAGTATAAAAATATCAAAAGAGTATCTATGATTCAAAATTCTTAATACATTTTGAGCTTTGAATCACGTTTTCTTCATCGATATTAATCTTTTTTTTACATGAATATTTATAAAAGTATAGTAAAATATATTATAATAACAAAAGCTTACACGAAAAGTGAAAATCTTTAAAAGATTATTTTATAGGCAAATTTTAGGTCGTTCAAAATGAAAACAATACCCTTTTTTTGGTTTTTGGTACTTTTCGCAGTTATTTATCAAAAATCGACAAAAATATATAAATTGTGTAGATTGCGCTGCATAGCATCTGCATTTCTAATCCGATTTTCATTATCTTTGGCTCAAAATTTACTGTAATGACATATCTTCTTTATCGAATTTTTAAACTAATGAAAAAAATTATCGAATAAAACTGCGTATTTCTCACTTTTTTCGACTTTGATGACAAAATGCAAATGGTCGCCTGTAGCACTAATAACTTTCATTGAAGTCGCCACAAGTTATATATTTTGGTAAGAGGCATATTAATACCTTTCGAGCTGTAAGTCGCTTACATTGATCGGGAGATTTTTTCATGAGATATTGAAGAAAAGCTACGAGAAGTACCAAAAGACACTTTCCAAAAATCCATCCATTGTCCGATAATTTTAAAATAACGATTAAAATGCGGGACAAATGCAGGACACCTGGAAAAAATCAGTACATAATCAGGTTTTTCAGGTTTGAAAAACTACGCAGGACCGACCTTTGAAAAACAGTACGGTCCTGCAAAAAACAGAACGGATGGTCACCGTAGCCATACCGTAAAGGAGAATAGAGAAAACCTCTCTGACCTCTTAGTCAACATCCGTGATGCTATACACTAGTTTAGGCTAGTGGCTCTCCCCGTTGTGCTATTCATATCCACACCTCTGCCTGAGCCAGGAATCAACCTGTTGCACAGAAAACGGGTATACAAGAGAGTGCTCTAAATGTCCGGTAGAAATGGATTCTTTGAAAGATCGAGGTTTCTTATAAATAAAATTAGTTCTTAAACATATTTTATTCTAAAAACCAACTCAGATGATAGAAGGGGTGGAGTCCACAGTTTTACGCCGACTCTGAGCGGCGATTGTATTTTAATGAAAGCAGAAATACACTCGGAGGTTTGTCATTATATTAGAAAAAGAATTTTTTATGATTTATTTTTTGATAATGGTCGGTTCTGCTAAACACTACACCGCAGCGGCCGCCAAAATTCTATCGGTTTACAAAGTTTAAGATCTCAAATGACCGAGATATTCCCCATTGAAAGCAGTGTGGCCTTTTGAAAAATCAAGCATTGCGTCTCAACCAACTGGAAATTAGATTTTGCTTTACATCTTTTGTGACTCTGCAAAAGCCCAAACAGGAGCAAATTAAAGCGCTATTTTATGTTTTTGGAGTTGCTGATTACGAAGCTTTTAAATGTTATTTATTACGAATCTTAAGTTAGATGGAAAAATTTCAAAATGGCGGGCCCAATATGGTGGCACAAAAAAATTAGAGCTGTTCAAATTTTAAATTGAAATTAGATTTAAAAAATTCGAAATAGATCTTCCATTCCTTATTGGATCTTTCATTTATTACGGAAAAGTGATAGTCGATTGTACATACATTAGGGTGGGCCGAAAGTACCAAAATTCTAAAACTTAAAATGGCCCAGTGATAAAAAGTTGCCTTGGGAGAAGAGAATTTGAGAGCAAAATGAATTTTTGAAATCTGTTAACATTTGACCCTCGCGCATTGGAGTAAAAATTATGGATTTTTACTAGTGGAGACAAAATTTTTAAAACTTTTTATACATCAGTCACGAACATTGAAAACAGTTGTTTGATCGTGTGAACACATAAAACATGTATGATTCAAGAACCGGGGTCTAACTACAATAGTCGTGGATCTCCGACCTAAAATTCTGGAAAAATATTCCTGATAGTATCATGCATCTTTTAAATGAATTGAAAATTTCGTTTAAGAACTGGGATGCTATTGGCTGTGATGGAACTACTACTAATACTGGATGGGAAAAAATGGTGTAACTCATAATATCGAAATGGTTTTCAAGAGACACCTTTAGTAGATTATTTGCTTATTACACCTTAATGAACTTCCATTCAGACATTTAGTTGAGTATTTAGATGGTCCAACTGCAGGTCCTAAATCTTTTTCTGAGCCTACTGGTGAGTGTCTTCTTCACTGTAATAACTTTCCCATCGTTATGTTTCGAAGGATTGATTGTGAAATCATCTCTATTGATGTACATGGCGTATGTGTAGCAATCACTTATCGTGTATCTATTATCAAGGTATGTTGGTATTGAAAATGGACGAGATCGGACAGTAACCACGCCCAACTGGCGGTAATTTACAGATATATGAAAACTGCGATAAATCTTCAACCCGACTTTTTCGATTTACATATAACTACATAAATACGTATGCATGTGTGTCTCGGTGACCGATTTATGAATTTTCCAAAACTCGGTAAAGTTATTGCCCTTAATAAAGCATTTAATTATAAATATAATTTGATCATTTTTAAGTAGCTTTTTAATTAATTTTTGTCTTGTATTTCGAAGTTGGCTATTTTTTTTACGTTATATTTTGTAAATTTTATTTATAGATTCAGGAGATTAGATTTTGTTTCAAAATCGCTACTTTCTCTTCACGTTTAACAAACAAATTTTGTATAAACAATTAAAAACTCAAAAATCTGGATTGACAAATCTCTTCTAAATTTTATTAACTTTCATTTAAAACAGTAGTCGGCAGGCCATAGCTCATTGAGCTCTCTCTGAGCACATGTGTGTTTCACACGTATACGAAGAGCGCCAGCCGAGCAGCGCATTTAACGGACAAAGACGTAAGTGTATCTATGCCTCGGTCGACGCGGAAAAAAATTTTGTTTTTCTGTAACTTTTGGAGTAAACCGAGCAAATCATGCGTAAATGCACGGCTTTATCTCTTTCAACAATCTAGTCCAGCCCTGGGCAGCGTCGGCACGGCGGGCGTATTCGCGTATACATATACGCTCTCTTGATAAGATAAGATGCAAAATTGTATTTACGTGCTTACAACTATTTATCTAAAAAAAGTGATCAACACTTTATTTTTTATTATATCACAACAAGATAGATTAATGGAATATACACTGCGATTGGATATGTACATACATACTCATGTATGGTATGCATCTAACTATGACGGCCGCACTCATGTACACAACGTTGCGAAATTAACATTTAAATACACAAAATACTGGCAAACGCACATACATATATGCACTTCATTTCTTCTTTCTGTTTTGAAAGTAATTAAAAAAAAAAAAAGATTAGAAAGAACTAATACTTTGTGTGAGACCACGTCAACTGTTCCGCGATAATTTCGCCAAGTCACGGATATTTGAAAGGAGTGAGTTATGAGTATTAGGGATGGGAAAACTCGAATATTCGAAGCTTCAAGATTCGAGTTTTCATCGAATTTCGGCTCCAAAATGGCGACTTTTCGAAATCGAACTTGGTGATGCTAAAATTCGAATTTCGTGTTTATTAAAAAAAAAAAATATAAACTCTGCAACTTTCTTCTTTCTGACCAAATTTGGCATCACATTTGCCTGTCAAAAAATACATCGATGTTTTTTCAAGCTGATGCATCGATGTATCGTATATAAGAATCGATTTTTGCGATTAAAAATATACACGAAAATGGAACAATCGATGACATTTTTCTGATACGAAAAATTAACAAGAATGGAAATCGTTTTCTGAACGTTTCCGGATACGATAAATGTATATGTATGTATGTCGCGTAAAGGATATACAAATTGCTTTTGTTTTTAAAAACAAAAATAAATAAATAAACGCACATTATATGTATATATGTCCCGAAAAATTAGTTTCAAACAAGGCATACCAAACAGGTAGTAGCTTTAGAGCAAAAACAACATATACGTGTATTTTTTTGTTGTTTCTAGTATCTGAAATGTCAAAATCTGGTCTGATTTGTGTCTTTTAAATCAAGGTGTGCTATGTGTGATTGAAATTGGAAAATCATCAGCGTCATCATGTGCTACTGAGTTGGGTGAACGTTCCAAAACCAGCTATTTAATCTATTGTTTTGTATGGAAAAAGGTTTCACTATTTCACAATTTAAAATTTCTGTGAGAAGAAAAAAAGTCAAATCAGCTCCTCTACTGATACTACCTGTTCAATGTGCCTTAGTTTGAATATATCTACATTTTGTTAGTTTTTTAATTGATACTAAAAAAGTACATGGTACATTTGATAATTTTTTGATTTTTTTTTTTAGATATTTATTTCAAAAAAATACTTATTAGTATTTATTTTTGGCTGCGAACGTTCCGGATAATTAATCACATTAAAGTAAGTTCAATTGAAACTCTTCTTCGATTTGAGTTATCATTCTTACAGACACCATTTTGAAATTTAAAAAAAATTGAAAAAGTTCGAATTAAATCGAATTTGCCCCACAAAATTTCAAACCGAATAATCGAACGGTTGGTCAATATTCGAAATTAGGAAAAAATTGAATTTCAACCCCCCCCCCCCCCNATTTAATTTCCCCC